GCGTGCGTGCGTGCGTGTGCGTGCGTGCGTGCGCGTGCGTGCGTGCGTGCGTGCGTGCGTGCGTGCGTGCGTGTGTGCGTGCGTGCGTGCGTGCGTGCGTGTGTGCGTGTGTGCGTGTGTGTGTGTGTGGTGTGTGTGTGTTCGCGTGTGCGTGTGTGTGCGTGTGTGCGTGTGGTGTGCGTGTGTGCGTGCGTGCGTGCGTGCGTGCGTGCGTGCGCGCGTGCGTGCGCGCGTGCGCGCGTGCGCGCGCGCGTGCGCGCGTGCGCGCGTGCGCGCCTGTGCGTGTGCGTGTGCGTGTGCGTGTGCGTGTGCGTGTGCGTGTGCGTGTGCGTGTTCGTGTGCGTGTGCGTGTGCGTGTGCGTGTGCGTGTGGGTGTGGGTGTGGGTGTGGGTGTGGGTGTGTGTGTGTGTGTGTGTGTGTGTTTGCGTGTGCGTGTGCGTGTGCGTGTGCGTGTGCGTGTGCGTGTGCGTGTGCGTGTGCGTGTGCGTGTGCGTGCTGTTTCGATGCTCAAACAAGTTGGTCCCGTCGGCTTCCGGAGTTGTGACGGCCCAGGTTTGCTGACTTTCTTGACGAGGCCCGGTTCTGCAGGGCATCGCAGTTGAGAATGGAACCCTGGCATCTCAATGAATGCCACAGTCCATCGCGACACACTGAAGCCCGTGCAAGGCCACGGCTCTTTGCGTTCAGCTCCGGCGGAAGCACGAGGACTGAGTGTTCCTATCACATGAGATCCTAGACTCTCCCAACACCATGCGAGATAGGAGCATGCACCTGGCCAACCCGATATGTGCCGGTAGTGTTGACGGATGTTGCAATTTAGGGTAAAGTTTGGGGTCCGAGTCTAGGTGTCATCATGAGGGTATCGGATTGCTTGGTTCTTTAATTGCAGCCTCGAGGGTTCCATTACAAGGCTCAGGGAGTATCTTCACCGTCCTGAGGAGCTTCAACAGCAACGGATCCGGGCGATGGTCGGTATGCACGGGGGACAGGGAGTTTGATGTTCGGGAGTTCAGGGGCTTCGTGTGCAGGGGCCTCAAGATTCCCTGCCGGTCGGGCTTAGTCCGGATAAGGAGCTCCGAACATGTCTCTGTTGCTACACGACGCCCATGATTGCCTTTATGCGTGTGCTTTCAAGGACGACCATGTAAAGAAGCGAATGAGAATGAGTCATGGCGAACACGGTGAAGCTGCTTGTGGGGCTGCTGTTGATGACGGTGGTGGTGGTGGTGGTGGTGGTGGTGGTGGTGGTGGTGGTGGTGGTGGTGGTGGTGGTGGTGGTGGTGGTGGTGAATGATGGTGATGACGACGAGGATGATGTCATCACCTTTTCTGTTGCCATCACCTCCAGCTTCAGCAGTAGCCGGCTAGGACAACAAATCGCTGGGTGGTGCCATGTGGTGCCCATCTTGCTTCTCGCTAGCTGCACCACCGTCACCCGCAAGATACAGCTTTTCTTGATCATCATCAGCATCGCTTGTAGTCGACGCATGCAGTTGCTTTTCGACGCTTTCGCATCGAAGCTTGCACAGAAGAGACGGCACACATTTACCGGATTGAGGTTCCGCTGCTTGTAGCTCAGCATTTCCGCTTGAGTCAGAAATCATCCTGCTGTTGATGACAACCCTGCGGGTTGCTACGAAGGGAGGAGGAGGAGTCGGCAGGTTCTTATGATGGGCGCCAGAGTCAACATTATGATCATTGATAGCTTGGCTGTACTCTTTAAGTGGTATCGCCGTTGCTTGCCTGTGTTGCTCATGCGGCAAGTTGTAGCATTGCTACACTGGTATCAGCAGAATGCAAAATTAGCATCGTGTGTCTGCTCAGAGCCACCATGGTTCCAAGACTACTGCTGGCTTTGTATGAAATTATTCCAGGCCACGCTGACGGAGGCAAAGCTGGCGACTGAGGCAGAGTGTTGCCGTGATTGCCGGGGGCGGAATTTTGGTCAGAAGGGGCCTTAAGCATGTTGGGTTTTGGGGTGCATGGCCTGAACCGTCTGGTCTGGGTCATGCTCTTAAAGCTTGAGCAGTGGGGAGTGGTCTGGGAGTGCAGGTCCTGGGACACAGGTTTGGCAACAAAGCCAATTTCAATGACAGTACTGTAGACAGACGCAGATCCGCGATTTGGGCAGGAAAGATGACACTCGCGTCACTAAACCAGACACTGCGCGCATTCATCTATGCCAGCTTTGCAGGCAGATCCCTCGAAGTCGTGTCCTCGGAATGGAGCCGAAAGAGCTTTGAAGAAGAGTCTGGCTCAAAGGACAGGCACAGGCCTCATTGTGTGATAGCGCTGAGTCGCTGATAGGATATGAGCAGCAACTACTGACCAATACACCAGCCGCTGCTTCTACTGCTGCAGCTACTTCTTCTACGACGTCATACCACTGTTACTACTTCTACTGCTGCTGCTGCTGTTGCTGCTCCGACAGCGACATCGATGGCCACGGCGACTGTAACTGCGACAGCTGCTAGAACTGCTACTGCTGGTACCCCTGCTACGCGATCGATAGTTACGGCAACCAGGACGACAAATTTCCGATGACTGGCCACTTCAAGCTGCAGAGCTGGTACTGTGTTTCCGGAAAGACATGTCGATGCTTGTGATGGCGTGTGCGATGTTATGCATGATTGAAAAACAGACAATACTTTGTCCAAGACCTTTGAAATTTGCCAGCGCAGGACCGAGAGCACCTAGAAGACTGAGCCCTGCATACCCAAGAAGCACTCCAGGAGCACCCCTGAGGCTGCCCAGACCAGCCATAATTCCAAAATCTGCAGCACATTTGCGGGAGCACGATTGGCACTGAACTCGCAGTGCGCTGGCACAAGAACGCACGAGTTGTATTGAACAAATTGCGTGGACTGCGGCAGCCGAGGCGCGTTTCTTGCCCCGCGACGCGCTCGGTCTGCTTCGCACTGGATTGACTTAGTTGGTTTGCTTTGCTGGCTCTGTCACTTGTGTGTGTTCGAGCACGTTGTGTCTATTTCAAGGTGATGAAAAGGTGCCTTCATGATCACCGTCATCAGCACCGCTACAATCACAGCATCACCTGCATCGGCATCATCATACGGGTCTTCTTCAGCTAAGCTCATTACTTCATGATTATCATCGTCGCGGTTGCCATCATTATCTTTATTGAAGCATGTTTTTCATGGCCGACATTCAGCATTTTCTGTTTTATCTGTCGATGACTCCTATGCATCAACGCTGCTTTGGTGTTCGTCATCACATTCCTCACCATCGCCATGTTGTTATGTTCATCATCATCTTCGTCTTATCACCATCATCATCGTCGTGGTCATCCTCATGGAATCCTCATCGTCATCATCATCATCAACATCCTCTTCTTTCTCTTCTACAAACACGTGTCACTCGTCCCCTCTGTCAAGACAAAGCCAGGCCGAATCCAAATATTTCGCAGGCGAACCCTCCAGCACCACTGACTGCAGCGTAGTCTCTGCACAGTGGGTACGGCGACCGAGAGTTTGGATTAGGTCATTGGTTCGGAGAGCATGCACTGCCGCAGTGCCATTGAGAATGGCAGCACTTTGTACATTCAGGCGAATGTACGCTACCTTAAACGGCTATAGGTTTTCCTTGTGATATCGACTCCGACCAGTTAAAAAATACTACTAATCAAACACCCTCCCCAGTAGTCCCTCGTTAATTGACTGTGGTATAAAACACTCCAAGCTCTAATTTCCTTATTCACAACCCTATATTGGATGTGGTATCAGAGTTAGAGCATGCAGTGTTGGATTGGAGCTCGATCGCAAAACTCTGGAGTAGCCGTTCCCACTTCGGCAATGTGTTCATAGTTCGTCGAGATCTTCTCAGACTTCGGGCACTCGCACAATCCAGCACACGCGCCCGCTCCACGAAGTGTAGTCTCCTTACCTGGTACTTGTAACACGCTAGCAGTTTCGCGCAAAAAAAGCGCGGTTGTCTCGAGAGCAAAGCATGGAAGCCTTATCTAGCTTGGTTTGATCCTATACCAGCGACGCGCATGGTCTGCCACTGGCCAGGTGATACTGTAGCTCTCTATGTCGCAGGAACTGGAGTGTTTGAATAAGGGTTAGGCGTTCCCGCAGCACCGTCGTAACGACCTCTAGTTCTGAGATGGTCTCAGTTTCACGTCGCTTCATGGCACGGAAAGCTTGCTGCTTTGGCAGTTTACGGCCCGCCGCTGGCTGTGCAGCTTTAGCTGATGTAGCTGGTCTTTTTTGATGAACTACTGGTGAGTTGATTGCTATGTCGACGGAACGGCCTTGAGGATTGTGGGGTTGGCGCTTCAGGGTTGAGCACAGAGTCGTGCACAGTATTTCCCGGGGCTTAGCGCAAAATGGAGGCCTCATTGCAAGCAGAATGTGATCAACTCCGTCTAGCCGTCTCATTTATCATGATGATAGGCTACGTCGAAACTACCCAGCAGCAGCTTGCTTTCAAGTGCATGGAAGTTAATGAAAGAGTTCCGCAGCCTAGGGTTCTGAAGCTCTACGTATCCTTCTCTCACCTGCATCGTAGTTGAGTTGCTTCAGGAACACAGAGCAATTTTCCGTTCGTGCGAGTTTGATACGTGAAATGTTTTGGAACATACGTATCCCGGCCCCCCTCATCTCCAAGCCAGAACCTGCAGACGGGACGCGTGGGAAAAAGATCATTGGCTGAGTGCAGAGAGGACACCGTCGTCCCGAGTCAGAACCATCAGGATTAGCAGCACCAGTAGAGGAGTAGGAGTAGGAGCAGTAGGAGTCGCAGTAGGAGTGGTAGTAGTGGTAGTAGTAGCAATAGTAGGAGGAGCAAGAGTACAACTTTCGGATGCCTTGATTTGAAGTTCGGCATTCCTTGCTTCGGATCTTTACGGTTCGCGGGGTCAGGGCCTTAGTATTTGGGGCTGAGGACATTTTTCCCTTTCCTTGGTGAGTGGGGCAGTTTTCGGACTTAAACCCGAAACCAGTGTTGCAGCCTGTTAAGATATTGTGCTTCGGGGCACACAGGAGGAGGCAGACGCAGCCCAAGCGCGCTACGAGCAGCTCCTCAAGATAGGCTGGGCTGGGTTTAGGATTTGGGGTTTTTAATTTCGGGGTTTAGGCTTTAGGGTGTGGGGCCTTCTGCCTTGAACTTGTCGTGGATGAGTCTCCACATATCCCTGCAGTGCTGGATCTGTGTTGGAAGGACCCATGAAATCCAATGGCCCCGAGCCAGAGCACGCGAAGCCCAGCCACAATCCGAAGAGCTAACAGGCAGCGCCGTGGACCAGCGCAAAAGAGAAGCCGGAATCTCAGCAAGATGCCACATCTTTCAGAATCCGTTTTGTCCCTACAGCAGCGCCAACATGAGCATCCTGCACATTTTCCGGTCCGAGGCATCGTGCACATGCACATCTGTGGGAGCAACTCCAAGTCCTTAACCCGACCGGGCATAACCGAAAGATCATGTCCGACAGATCATCGAAGCTAAAGCGGCAACAAATGGCGACGTCCCAGGATTGGTACGATCGCCTGGCTTGGTGGACCGACGTCAAGGCTCAACATGCGCATTCTTGCTAAGCTCTGACGCTCACGCTTGGGGCCTGTGTTGGGGATCCATGATATCATGTGCCTTTGCATGCGAGGCGACGGGATGCAAGATCAAAGAACCTTCGGATTGCCATACGACCCGGCTCGACATAGCCAGTAGCGACAGACGGTGCCAAGAGTCCTTGTTTCAGGTTGATTGTCTTCCCACTCCGACCTCAAACATGTCGCGAGTCATTCGAAGTGTTGTGGCTGCCGCATCTACGGTGGCAGTGGCAGCCGTGATTCGTGTTCCCCTCCAGAAGCGCGAGCTGAGCTTCGAGGAGACCCTGGACTCAGTGAACATGGGTGTTCAGAAGTGGGAGGCGCGCCTGGCCGCCAAGGGCGACGACCCTGTGATCATCGACGACTACATGAATGCCCAGTACTACGGTGAGATCGAGGTGGGCACACCTGGGCAGAAGGAGATGGTGGTCTTTGACACCGGCTCAGCCAACCTCTGGGTGCCCAACCACAAGCCTTTCCTGTCCAGCCACAACATCTACGATCACTCCAAGTCCTCGACTTACCAGAAGAATGGCACAACCTTCGCGATCCAGTATGGCTCAGGCCCAGTCTCTGGTGTGTTCTCGGCAGACGATGTCGCGATTGGCGATCTGAAGCTGAAGGACTACACTTTCGCTGAGGTTGACAAGACTAGTGGCCTGGGAATCGGCTACATCCTTGGCAAGTTTGACGGCATCCTCGGCTTGGGATGGGATTCAATCTCCGTGGGGCACGTGAAGACCCCGATGAAGGCCCTGGTCGAGTCTGGCAAGCTCCCGAAGCCCATTTTCGCCTTCTACCTCGGCAACAACCAGCCGGGTGAGCTGCTCTTCGGCGGCGTGGATCCCAAGCACTACACCGGAGACTTCAGCTTCGTGCCTCTGTCTTCGGCGACCTACTGGCAGATCAAGCTGGATGCTGTGAAGCTCGCCAGCGACACCGTGTCGAGCGTGCCCAGTGCCATCGTGGATTCTGGCACCTCTCTGTTGGCCGGACCCAAAGACGATGTGGCCAAGATTGCTGCGAAGCTGGGTGCCAAGTCCATTTTGGGCAAGGAGTACGTGGTGGACTGCAGCGCCAAGCTGCCGGACCTCACCTTCACCTTGGGTGGGAAGGACTACACCCTCTCGCAGCCTGACCTCATCTTGCAGCAATCCGGCTCGCAGTGCATCCTCGGCCTCACCGGTATCGACGTCCCCGCGCCACGGGGTCCTCTCTGGATCCTGGGAGATGTCTTCATGCGCAAGTACTACGTCCAGTTCGACTGGGGACAGCAGCGCCTTGGCTTCGCCAAGTCTGCCCAGGCCGAGTCACAGGCACAGACTCTCCGTGTTCCCCTCCAGAAGCGCGAGCTGAGCTTCGAGGAGACCCTGGACTCAGTGAACATGGGTGTTCAGAAGTGGGAGGCGCGCCTGGCCGCCAAGGGCGACGACCCTGTGATCATCGACGACTACATGAATGCCCAGTACTACGGTGAGATCGAGGTGGGCACACCTGGGCAGAAGGAGATGGTGGTCTTTGACACCGGCTCAGCCAACCTCTGGGTGCCCAACCACAAGCCTTTCCTGTCCAGCCACAACATCTACGATCACTCCAAGTCCTCGACTTACCAGAAGAATGGCACAACCTTCGCGATCCAGTATGGCTCAGGCCCAGTCTCTGGTGTGTTCTCGGCAGACGATGTCGCGATTGGCGATCTGAAGCTGAAGGACTACACTTTCGCTGAGGTTGACAAGACTAGTGGCCTGGGAATCGGCTACATCCTTGGCAAGTTTGACGGCATCCTCGGCTTGGGATGGGATTCAATCTCCGTGGGGCACGTGAAGACCCCGATGAAGGCCCTGGTCGAGTCTGGCAAGCTCCCGAAGCCCATTTTCGCCTTCTACCTCGGCAACAACCAGCCGGGTGAGCTGCTCTTCGGCGGCGTGGATCCCAAGCACTACACCGGAGACTTCAGCTTCGTGCCTCTGTCTTCGGCGACCTACTGGCAGATCAAGCTGGATGCTGTGAAGCTCGCCAGCGACACCGTGTCGAGCGTGCCCAGTGCCATCGTGGATTCTGGCACCTCTCTGTTGGCCGGACCCAAAGACGATGTGGCCAAGATTGCTGCGAAGCTGGGTGCCAAGTCCATTTTGGGCAAGGAGTACGTGGTGGACTGCAGCGCCAAGCTGCCGGACCTCACCTTCACCTTGGGTGGGAAGGACTACACCCTCTCGCAGCCTGACCTCATCTTGCAGCAATCCGGCTCGCAGTGCATCCTCGGCCTCACCGGTATCGACGTCCCCGCGCCACGGGGTCCTCTCTGGATCCTGGGAGATGTCTTCATGCGCAAGTACTACGTCCAGTTCGACTGGGGACAGCAGCGCCTTGGCTTCGCCAAGTCTGCCCAGGGGGCTTCTGAGGCTTCCGTCTTGATGGTGTGAGGCTAAGGCCTAAAGTTTCAAGCGATCCCGACTGAGACAGCAGACCGCTTTCACTGCAAACCTGCAGCCCGGTCTTTCCAAGTAGAAAGACTACCGGGCACAGGGCAGGACTTTCTCGACAGCGTGCAGCTACGACTGCACTTCAACTTCCGCTGTCGCAGCTGACCTGAGGTACCGACCATGAGCCTGCCTGAATATCCTTAGCATCCATTATGCTTACGTCAGGGCTGAGCGTCGACACAGATAAGCCTCACAGCATCTTAATGCTTATAGTTGCTTTCGTATGCACATGCCACTGTCAATCTTGCCTTGGGTCCGCTCAAGCAGAACAGACTGCATTACTAGTCATTCCTTTGAACCTGGTGCCGTGTAAGAGCCTGGGAGCTGGCAGTTGCTTATTTTCCGCCTGGGAACATGAGCCAGCTGCCCCCCTTGATCTGGGCATTTGGCCCCGCGGTGGCCAGCAAAACAGCGCAGCGCATTGCAAAACAAAAGCAAAGGTCAGCGAGGAGCCCTGTAGTGCAGTCTGCGGTTCAAGAGCTCATGGGCACTTCTTTGGGCCCCCATATTCTCACAAGAACTCATGGGCACTTGTTGAGGCCCCTATATTCTCAACTCAAGTATAGAGGGTTATTATAAAACCCTCTATATTCTCACCTCAAGAATCCAGAAGCCCACGCAGACGAAGAGCGGCGCCCGCGTTTTCGTCCTGGCGCCGCGAGGCCCCAGGGGCGAGACGGAGGCGCTTCGGTGGGAGCACGCAATGTGAGTCTACATATTTCCGAAAATTAGGGTTCCTTGAAAGGGTTCCTTAAAGGGGTCTATAAGGGATCTATAGTAGGCTTCTATGGTAGAGGGTTTATATGGGAGTTTCAGAAAATTAGGGGGTACTTTAGGGTTCCGGGTTGCTATAAGGGTACTATAAGGGTTCCTTTATAAGGGTTTGGAGTTTCCGAAAATTGGGGGTACCTTTGATTGGGGGTCCTTATAATAGGGATCCTGCTATTTAGGGTACTACATTAGGGTCCCCTATTTTCGGAAACTCGCATGTGAGTGAGGATCCCCTGAGCTTTCACCCTAAAGTCCCTGGCAGAGTAACATCCTGAAATCTCTGAAACTAAGATCTTGTGTGAGTGCTCTCAGCTGTTCATCATCGGGTGGCTGTGCGAGTGGCCCCTGAGCTCGCGATGAGCCAAAGCGAGCGATGAGAGCACGTCGAGTTACTAGCCGAAGAGTCCTGGAGCGTGTGTTGGCACTGTATGGTAAATCTCAAGTCCATCTGCCTAGTATGGCATCAACATGCACGAGCTCTTGGCCTATGCCCTCTCGAAGATGCACCGAGTGGTTGCCGAGGAGGAGCTGCTGCGTCTGGGCAGTACGACAGTGTGCTTGATACTAGTAGTTGTATGTTGTATGGTCAGCTCACATTGCGTTGCCAACGCCAGCAGCTCGTATCTTCCCAAGCCAGTGCTGCATGTTCAATCTCCCTTCGTACAAGGAAGTTGGGGGTTGGCCTGAAGGACACGCGCTTTGCAGTGGTTTGGGTCCAGCTCAGCGACCATCGAGCCTACAGCTTAGACATTAGAGCCCGATGCGACAAGTTGCAGGCAGCCATTGCGAAGAGACCTCCTCAGACATGAGCTGTCACTGCCGGAAAGTCGGCACCTGTGTTTCGGATGTAAGTTCTTTGCAACCTCAGCGAGCTGCTTGAGTTAGGGTATATGTGATTGGGACACATGGGCAGGATGGACATTGCAATGCAGGACCTGTCTGGACCTGCCGGTAGGGGATCTCGTCATCGTCGTCATGGTAGTGATGACCACTGTTCACAAGGCGAGGAAATAGCCGCCATCATGAACCACCACCTGCATCACCATCAGTCATTGTTGTCATCGGTGTCATAATTTTGTCAGAATCATCATCAGCAATGCAAACATTGCCATCATCGTTATTCGTCATCGTTGTGTTCGTCAGCGTCAGCATCACTGTCAACCTTGATCATATGCGTAATAATGTCCTTCATCATGACCGCCAGCGTTCAATGGAGCCGCAAAGCCGGAAACCCTAAGGTCGGACCCTGGCAGTGCTTCCGGTTTGCGGAAAGCCTTCACGAGAGGTACCCCTCAAGCTCCGCTTCTCTCTTGTCGTCCAACAATAATCACAAGAATCAAAAGACAAAGCTGTATGCACAACAGTTCTAGTGACTTTAGTGTCAACAAGCAGAGCAACAATGCAAAGGGCAACTGCAAGCTTGAACATTGCACCTAGATGTGCGGACAATGCTGGACGATTCCTGAGAGACATGGACACGCAAGGAATTGTTTGATGCTTGGTTCTGAGACCATGCGAAAAGTTGTGCAAGCGACGCCCTCTGGGTCTTCGATTGCAGCAGAGCTCTAGTTCAGTGGCGGTTCCATTGCGACACACACAGAGACAGACAGACTCTGACAGGTACGCAGCCAACCTCGAGGCCGGAAAAGGATCACCGCAGCTACATGGCACATAGTGCATTGATAAGAGAGCCCGTTTGCCACGTGTTCGTAGCCAGTCGACATGTTGCTGTGGCAGGTCAGCGAAGCTCAAACTCAGGGTCCGTGAGACTCTTATGGCATGCTAAAGCCAGGGAGCCGGGTCGTACTGCAGGAGGTCTCCCGGCGTAGAGTCTGAATGGAGAGCCTGGTCCTGGTCTATTGAATCTGGGTAGTTGGGATTTCAGAGGTTTACAGATTTGCGGTTTCATGCGGACTTAGGGTGACCAACTCGCTGCATCAATGAATCAAGTTCCGATGTCTTTGCAAAGCAGGCCATCCATGTTGTCCATCCTTCCTGGACGACGCGAATTCTGAGGCGGCCGCGGCGAGTGATTTTAATTCGAAGGAGAAGTGCTGTCTTGATTGTGTAGGGGCACCTGAGTCGTGCATATTGTGTCCTGACAGATGCAAATCTTTCAAAGCCCGACTCGCAAATGCGGCCATCTGCAAGCTTGTGGAGCCCACCTCCGTTCGATTTGCTTGCAATCCTGGGTTCGCAGCCTCAAGACGACGGCCAGCGCAGGTCTTGGCCAGCCCCGAAGCAAACGACCTCAAATCGCACAACCTTCTGTCGCGAATTCAGAATCAAACATACCTCCAAACAGCCCGATATGCCCAAACATGGCACCCCGTCCGATCTTCCAGGTTGGTGCTGTGGCCGCTGGCCAGTGAGGTGCCCGAACTCGAGAGTGCCATTCCGAGACTCTCTAGACCCGGTCCGAGAGGTGTTTTGTTCTCTACCGCCTGTGATGAGCTCGACTTTTTTCGCCTAGCGATGCCAGAACCCGAATCGGCAAATCCTGCGAGCCGCCTGAGCTACCCACGTAAAGGCTCAGGAAGGGCACGAAGAGAAAGTGTATGTTCAACTGTATCTGCCGCTGATATTGTTGTTGTTGTTGGTCGCCGTGGCGGTGGATTGTTGTCATTGTTCTTACTGCTTGAGCATCTTACTGCTTTCATCTGTACCAACGTCGTTTCGCCTATTACCCCAACTTCCAGTGCCACCACAGGTGTTGTGATTAGTGGTGCCAGTGTTCAGATGAAGCAGAAGATGATGAACAAGACGATGATGATAATGATGATGACGGTGATGGCGATGGTGATGAGGAGGAGGCGGCGGCGGCAATGACTGGAACAGTGATACCTGAAGGCAACCGCAACCACAGTCATAGCAAGAAGCAGCGATAGCAAATAAACCAAGAGTCCCCTTCTTTGTCGTTTTGCGAGGAGTTCTGGGATTACTTTCACTCCCATGAACGGATCGAGTTCCTCGATGTGGCGCTCGACATGAGGGCACGGCTTTCCTGGATTTCCGGGTGCTGCGTGGCGTTGTGAGCTTCCGGGAACTTTAGGCTCCAAAGTGCGCAAAGCGTCCAGAGTGCAGCATCGAAACCTAATCCGGATCAACGGTGTGGAGAGCACTTGGAAGACCCCAAACAAAGAGGAAGATCTGAGCTACGGATCATTCAGCAGCTTGTGCTTAGTCCAATGCTACAATTACAAGCAACAGGCTCCGGCCTTTGCATGCAAGTTTGAGTCTTGGCAACCTGATGCCTGGTGCAGCAACTTCCTTCCAAAACTTCATTCATCAATCTGCCACATCGACCGTGGATTTGCCTGAAATCAGCACTGCCTCCAGAAATTTCGGCTGCCAAAAGACATCATGGAGTACGACAAGTGGCTGGACCAGCAGGCCGATTGGGTGTTTCGTTGAGATTGTTCACGTCCCTGGTCGAAGCTTTCAATTTTGATGGGTCTTGGTGTTATGGCAGCGGTGATGCAGATGCCGGTGTTCGTCGCTGCTACTTTTGATTTCAGCGTATGGCAGCATTGCTTTTGACCATGGGTAGCATGATAGGGGCTTGTGTTAATATCGAAAATGATGACGCCATTCATAAGAACAAGACGAAGACCGGGAAGAGGAATACTCAAAAGTGCCAATATCTCTTGCAGCCTGTCTTGGTCATCGCTGTGACGCATTCGAAAGCTCACCGAGAAATCCGATAAGGAAGGGTGTACGGAAAGTGGATGGATCCCTCCCACACTGCCGTGGCAAGGGCGCGAGCGATGGCATTTTTCTTTGTGAAAGTCCAAAGATGTTCATGCTTGTCATCCGTGTAAGCTTAATTATAAGAACCATCAATGCGCGAAGAGCGAATCACCCGACAGATTACGTTCTAGAGCGGCTTCGTACCAAAACAACGCCAAACAAACATGAGTGTGGAGTGGGACAGCGACCCAGCAGAAGACCATCACCAATCCGCAGGAAGTCCAACAAGAAGTTTTCTGAACTGGCCAGAGATGCCGACACATCTAGGCATCATGACTCTGAACATCGCACATGAATCGGACGTTTACGACCCTTGGGAAGTCTCTGGTTCATGAGTTCTGAAGCACAAAAGCATGCAATGCAAAGTAGTACATTATATGACATTGGTAGCACATGGTAGTACTAGACTCAGGAACCGCAGATAGACAATGCCAGGAGTTCCGGCTGCGTCCTGTTTGCCACCACCTTCCCTCACTGCGAAACGATCGTAAACCCTAAACCTAAAACCCGAGCACCTAGAACCCAGAGCTGCTTGCTTTCTGCAGGCCGCTGAGCTTCACAAGCAGCAGGACTGGCAGGGGATCCCCGGACCTTGAAAGCTGTTGGCACAGGATTCAGGTCGTGTTCCTGGAGTTGCTACTGGTGTTGATGCCATTCTTCACCTTGATGCTCCGTGTTTTCTGTTCTCATCGCTTTGGCGACGGAGTTTGAAGTCAGTGGTTCGATCATTGTCATGCTGCACCAGGGACACTGCACCGAAATTCGCAAAGTTACGACGAGGATGACGACGATGGGATAAAGAAGAAGATTACTAGTGTCACACTCAAGCTGTGTGAGTGTGATGGCTGCTCCGACGGCGACTATCCCGATAGCGGCGATGATGACAGTTCTCACAATGACCATGATGATGGTGATGCTTGTGGTAATGATGATGGGATCCATGCTGGTGATGACCAAGAAGACGAATGTGATGATGATGGTGATGATTCTGATGAAGATGCCGACCATGTTGGTGGTGTCTGCTACTGTGGCTTTACCACAAGCATTGGCAGGACGGTTAGTGGCTAGTGGATGGTTGAGCCGATCGTGATCGCGTCCGTGGTCGTGGTGGTAATGGTGGTAGCACCAGCAAGTACGTAACACTGATTGGTCTTGCTACTGCCAGGCACAATTTTGCATACGAGTGGTCACTAGCTGCTACTGACCACGAGTACTCTTCACCAGAACAACGATATCAAGAGATGCTACGGATTCGTGTCATCATGGTCATCTTCGGGCTTGGCACATCATCCCCCCGCAGGCGATGAAGCAAGGAGCCATGATGTCTGGAAGGTGCATGCAGAGACCAATCTGACTTCAAGCACAATCCAGGAAACTCCTGAGAGTTGAAGACACAAGACACGAGCCTTGCACCTTCGTGCCTTACATGATTAGCGTGTGAACCTTCATGCTCTCAACTTTTTGTCCCGCTTTGTGGTTTGGTAAGCCCTGCAGACACCTTGGAAGGAAGTCCGACGAGGGATTGTGGGCTTCGGGATGTACAATTCGCGAAGTGTCACTTAACTCCTTCCACACTTGTAACATGTAGATCTCGCACATGCGCATGCATGAGCATACGTTTCCACTGACAAACATGCAGATGCCTATGTATGTAGTTGTATGTATGCATTGCGTCTCATGGGCATGTGGGGTGAAAGTACATGTCTATCTAGAAGGCGGCCTTCAAGATGGCCTCTGCAGCTTTCTTGATCTGACGTTCGCATTGCTTTCCGTCTGTTCGGAATTCGTCGGGCAGTTTTCTAGCGTCAACTCGAGTTGATGTCGTAGCTGCTGTGAGCTTTCCACCCCGCGACATCCATCCTAATCCGTAATTTGTGAAGCTTAACTGCCCATGACCCCTAAAATTAAGTGATATTGAACCCAGCATTCCAAGCACCTGCAGTTTTGGCAGCATGGCCTCCGGCATGGACGAAGAGAGGCAAACTGCTGGCATGCTTCCATTGGACATGTTGTGCCAGTGCCTGGATGGATAGAGGGACCCGGATATTCAGAGTAGTGGTGGCAGGTTATGCGTGGTGCATTCAACTAGACGTAAGCTATTCGGGCCTCTTTATAGGGATGGGGCACCCTACACAAGCACGCTTGGACCCTTTTCTGGCCTGCGGCCACAGGAAAAAGATGGATCAGCAAATGGAGGACATGAAGCGGATACTTGAACAGAAGGCCGGGACAGAGGCAAATCTTGCTAACAGAGATCCGTAATTAGTTGGCAGGGCACGACTATAGCATTCAGTGAGTGCCGCCGCTTCGCAAGCGCTTTCTGCTGTTACTCCGTTGAAAGTATTGCTGTGCGCAGCCTAATTGCAATGTTGTGCAACGGCATTCTGTAGGACAAAACCGAAGTGTCGTCCAAGGCGTGTACGCATGTGTACATGTACAATATGTCTGTATGTATTATATATATGTATATATATATATATACATGTATATATATATATACACATACATGCATATGTATGCGGTAAATGGGCCTGTAGTGTGTTATTTTCTGTGTATATATATACACACACTCATACAGTTATGTATACGAAATGCGTAATTATGCATGCATGTGTACATGTGCCTGCATAAATGTGCCTGCATATATGTAGGCGTGTATGAAGTATTTATCTACACCTCTATAGACATAAGTAGTCTAAATATACATATATATATATTCATATATTTATATTTATATATTCATGTGTGTATATACATATGTACATATATATATAAGATACATGTGTATGTACATGCGTTTCCATCTTCGGAAGGGTATTCCCGCGGGCGTTTCAAGCCCTTAGCCTTAGCGCTGCCAAGGGATATGGTTCCAGCGGGAAGCAGGACTGAGCCTTCGGTGGCCGAGCCGCGCGCATGGCTTCCTTCGGTCGTCCTTTTGGGTTGTGGTCAAGGGTTTGTTCAAGGAGCGATCATTGAAAGGAGTTTGCAGAGAGAGAAAGAGGAAGAGAGAGTACAACCCGGGCAACGAAGCCGCATTCTGAGCTGGAGCCTCGAATCATCGAAATCTGAAGCCTAAGCCCGCCGCACCGGCTAGCTCGTCGATTCTTGCAGACAAGAAAAAGAGCTTCAAAAACGTTTGCCGTGCTCGTGCGCTTGCTTAAAGCAGAGTCGGTACACATGCACTGTGCCCGTACATACATGTGTATACATAGACATGTATATATACACACACATGTAAACATGCATGCAGGGCCATGTACGTACAGATCTGCACACATACGTACATGCATACATATAGACCTGCACGCGTGCACTCTTACACATGAGCACCTGTGTGGGTGTCCATTTGTGTGTGTGTGTGTGCGTGTCCAAACCCTTTCTACGATTCACGCATTGTGGATACTCCTGCATACATACATCCATGCACACGGCATTCCGACGTTCGCTGCGTTTGGGCTGGTCGCTTGTGAGAGTAGAGTCCGTAGAGTTCTCCTGTAGTTGTGGGTTCAGAACCGAGTGCAATATACTAAATCCGGAAGTTTCGGACAATAGATCCTAAATTGTCTGGTCGGATCCTGAATGATAAAGAACACCCCTGAAGAAGGAGCCACAAGTTCAAGGAAACCCCAACTAAAGCCCTACAAGTATGGTCCTATTGTATAAACCAGAAGCAACCCTAAAGCGAAGTCGTTGTGTTTCAGAAGATCGCTGATTTGAAGAGGTGATTTTGCCCGCTTGTTTGCTCAAGCAGCGCCACACAGGCGCCCATGAGTCTATGAGTTTCATTCTCTACATGCTGCTATAAGCCGTATACATTCTAGCCGCTTCATTGCGTATGATATCATATGATGCATGCCTATCTTAAGCCTTCAGCCATGAACCATGCATCTACTTGTCACGGGCTGGTATGTCCACCGTCAGCGCGCATGCGAGCTGTCCTAGCAAGGTCTCAATTCGCGTGCGACCAACCCAGTGAAGACAAGACAATGTCGTTTCGAGTAGAGTTTTCGCCGAATAGTTCCTGAATTAGCCAGTGTCGATCGTTCAGAATCCCAAGTTCTCCTCGTCATGTTGCTTCTCCTGCGAGGCATGGGAAACCCCAGGCCTTAACCCGCTTCCCACATTCCCACATTCCCAGTCACGCAGCCGCCATGGTTCGGAACCGACACCAGCAACCGGGACCAGGCCGTTCTGACATGCGCACCGTTTTTCTGAGCCACTGGAGATCGGGAGCTCGGCTAGATGGGGGAGGAGGAGAGAGAAAGAGAGAGAGAGGGAGCATGGGCGGCTCCCTGCTTAGTTAGAGACTTGCCGGGGATGGCGCAATTGAAAAGGCAAGCTTGAGAGCGGCTGGACAGCCTTAGGGAGGCTACTGGCCACAGTTCCTGAGGGTATTGGATAGCAATTGCCAGGCTCTCCCGACGAGGCAGCCGCGCGGAAAGGTGCCTGAAGGGACTTTTTTGTCGTGTGCTGTACATGACATTGATGCTGAGTTTGGACATACATGCTTCCATCGAAGAACCTAGCGATCTTACTGTTCTGGCCCCTTCAAAAGACCCACCCCGAACAGAGAGGGATCTTCAGAAGGCCTTCCTTGAAGTCCTGGAGCCCCTTTCATCCAAAAGGGTCGGCTTGAACGGCCGGAGACCAGATTTAGTTCAGAAGGGGTGCGTGAATTCCGAGACCGCAGCCACCGGTTGGTGTCTGGGGCTTAAGGTTATCGGAGTTAGATGTTCAGGCTTTTGAGGCAAACGGTTTTTGAGGTGCTTTCGCTTTGCGAGACAACAAGGCAATCCAGGGCCCTTGTTGATGCATCGGCTGCCTGACAGCAGTTGCTAGGCCTCATGTCTTCTCTGGTTTCAATCCAAGCACCAGCACAGAGAATAACGGCCCAGATAGAGCAGAGCATCGGGAAGAAGAAACGTACCATCCCACGAAATCCCAAAAACGTCTGTTGATCAGCAGAAGCACCGCCAACTTGCCCCAGGCAGCAAGGATGCCAACCGCTCGGTACTTGGAAACGTTGCTTGGAAGGGTTGCAACGACAGGCGACCATCAAATGAATGGAACATGAACCAGTAACCAGGAATCCCTCACAGACAGCAGGAACACGGTGTGAAGGAGCTGTGGCGCAGTCGCGGGTGTCGCCCAGACTGCCTTGCGCTTGTTGCTAGTGGCCCCCGAACCCGCCCGAAACGGCAAGTCCTGGTAATGAATTAGTAAGGTCGTAAACATCTGGTTTTCTGCTGATCTGATAACAGTCAGGAATGGTTAAGGAGCAGAACCATCGAAGAGGCGTTAAACAGCGTCACACGAGTAGAAGTGTCTGTCGGTCTTGTGGCAGAAGTCTAGTAACAAGACTTGGCACTTCTTTCACGTGGGATTTTCGTACAGCATTACATAACAGGAGACGACATCATGCCGTGTTGTTCGGCAGAGTGCACTTGGTTCTTCTTACGTCGAGCTTGCAGGATTTGTGGGTGCAGATTGAGGCATGAGAGTGGTGACCTTCTGCTGCTTCAGCTCAAGGCAAGCAGTAGCGATTCCTTGGCCCCAGAAGGCTTCCCCAATACTAGCGCGACCTTTAGGAGGCTCCAAGAGACTGTTCCTTTGTAGTCATACCGGAACCTACCAAAACCTACTTTTTGTAGGGTCCCTATCAATTCCACATTAGGGTTTATAATAAGACCCCACAAAAAAGTAGGGTTTGGTAGTTTAAGGTAGTCCCTCAGTCTCAGTGCTTCGCCTCGGCGTGGATCTTCCCGAAGCCCAGCCATGGCAACCTTCATGTGGGATGTCCGGGAGCTTTTCCTGCAGTACGAGGCACGAGCTGCTGCTTTTTTGTGTGGTAATTTATGCACCCATTTTGGTGGACAATGAGAATGAGCAAGGTTTGATCGCTTGATCCTTTGTGTTGCGATGTGTTGTTTCTGGCCGGAATCCTGAGGGGCGATGGATTTGCTTGCCAACCCCTCCGGGCATATTTTTTGTTGGGGTTGTCCAGGACTGTCGCACGTAGCAAGCTTGACTGTTGTGTCACACGCTTAGGCACGGGTTTAGGCGCAGATACGTATGCAGACATATAAGCACATGTATATACAATACCGGATGGAGCCTGATGTCTGCACTTGCCGTAGGTGATCCTAACCATGGCTGTCAGGCGATGACAAACTCCGCGCTTCAGGTTTTGCCGCTGCTTGCTGAAAGAGAGGTTGAAGGAAAATCGGCATCTGAAAGTTTACGAAAGTGCAAAGCCCAGAGTCCCTAAATCGTAGCTGGAAGCTCAGTACGAACAAGATGTCCGCGTTTCCTGATTGATCCCAAGGATTCTGTTGAGCCCGGCGATCCTTACGAATATCCAGCGGCTCGCAACTTTTCAGGTGCCATTCCAAGTCGAAGAGTTGGCGCTAATGTGGGATGGAATTCGAGTGATCTGACCGCGGTTTGGGCTCTCTCTCTCTCTCTCTCTCTCTCTCTCTCTCTCTCTTTTTCTGTTTCCGTGTAGGCGGCTTCAAAGCCGTCGTGGTGAGATGCTTCTCGGGCCTCTCAGAACTTAGCAGGTTTGAGCCCAAGATGTTCAAGCAACGCTTGTACTTTGGCCTACATAGGAGGCCGAGCAACATTGACACGCACACAAAACACACACACACACACACACACACACACACACACACCGAATGAGCGCAGGGGGCCGTGACGACAATAGGTGCGGGATCATGCCTACCTCGCTGGACAAGTAGGTGCTTCCATGTGATTCACGACAAGCAGGATCCCTGTTGTTGTGCCCGTGTGATTCATTGGAGCGCTTCATGTGCGGGCTACATTTAAAAAGATCCTATACGCGGGCACCAACGGTGCGCCTTGACAGAACTGTCAGTACGGTGACTACAAAGCCAGTTCTTTGACCGGACTTGAAACGCAGTCGCAGTCCTTTGCGGGGCACCCTGCCGCGACAGGAGTCTCCCTGGAGCGGCGCCTATCTGACAAAGTCGTACACTCCGGAAGTTCAGGAGTCGAAGTCGAAGCATACTTTGAGGGTGGAAGAAGTATCATAGCAACTAGTCATTAGTCATCGGCATCATCATCATGATCATCATGCATCAGCATCATGATGTATGTAAGATGCAGTATGCACGTACATATGTATGTACATATGTCTATTTGTGTGTACATATACGTGTATATATGGGCATATATATATATATATATATGTGTATATATATATATATATGTGTGTAGTATACTTACACACCGCTGTATCACAGTTTTGGGGCTTTTGCTAGTGCAGTCTGGCCCCGCTCTTTGGGGTGGATCATTACAGAAGGGTTTCTTGGTCTAGGCCGGTATGAGTTGTGGGGACTAGGCTGATGATGCTCGGCGTTGGCTGCGACATTGCCAGGAGTGTGTTTGATCATGCTTGTTGCTGTCAATGATGCTCATGATGCTGGCGGTATTCACATGGTCGGCGTCGAGATTGCTGGAAAGAAGGCCGCTGATGCTGCTGATGCTCGGGTTGGATCCGGTTGCTGATGCTCGTGATGCGCGGGTTGGCTTGAGGATTGCCGGAAGTGGTATCGCTGATGCTCATGATGCTCGGGGTTGGCATCGAGATTGCCGGAAAGTGGGGCTGCTGATGCTCATGATGCTCGGGGCTGGCTTCGAGATTGCCGCAAAATGGTATGGTTGATGCTGCTGCTGGTTAGCTTCGGGATTGTTGAAAAGTGCGGCTGCTGATGCTCATGATGCTCGGGGTTGGTTTCCGGGTTGCTGGAGAAGAAGGGGCTGCTGATGCTCATGATGCTCGGGGCTGGCTTCGAGATTGCAGTAAAAATGGTATGGCTGATGCCGCTGGTGGTTGGCGTCGGGATTGCTGGAAAGTGGTCCTTCTG